GTGTGTGTGTGTGTGTGTGTGTGTGAGAGAGAGAGCAAGAGAGAGAGAGAGTGAGAGGGAGTCATATCACAGTGGAGTCAGCTGTAATAACCGTGGCTTGTGTACTGCAAACACATACCAGCTTCATCACTGTCTGTCACGCGACTCTGTTCCCCTTTCGTGCTCTGTCTTTACATTTATTTTGAAAGATGAAGCTCGTGATTATGGTAAGGGGCGTTACATTTCCGACGAGTGCTTGCGGTGTTCGGCCAATCACAATGCACTGGGCCAGCTGGCCAATCAGAGCAGACTGTGCTTGTCGGAAGGAGGGACTTTGTAGAAAACGAAGCGTTTGAGAGAGGCGGGGCATGGAGGACCTACAATAATGTACAGTATTTAAAAAAATAATGTGTTTTTTGAACATTAAAGCATGTCAACATATTCTGTTACACCAAATACACCAAATAATGATCTTTAAAAAAGCATCATATGACCCCTTTAAATCAAGGAGAGGTGTTTTGCAAACCCATCTTGTCTTTAATAATGCTGCAGTGATATAGCAACAGACCTCTGTCTAATGTCTATATTTCTATTCATGCTTAACTTCATTTCACTTGTAGTCTATGTCTGAGGAAATGCCATTTTATAATGTTGGATGTACAATTATCAGCTTTATTCTATGAAAACTCTCACAAAACATCCCTGCAACTACATTTCTGTATTTGATAAAAACGTAACAAAATGGTTAAATTTTTCTGCATACTTGTATACCTTTATAAACAAAGTTCTTAATAAATACATTTTTTGTATTTTCCTCTTTAAATAAAACTTAATTTAAAAAATAAAAGAGAAAAGTTTTTTACAGCAGTGCAGCAAATTATAAGGTAGATGGTCAGGCCTTATGGTAGCCATTTTTGGCTTTTTTTAAGGGTTCAAAGTTCTCATAAATAGTGAGTGCAGCTGTGTTCTGGTAGATCAAGTCAACATTGTTTCCAGTCCGAGACTTGATGATGTCCATGGCACACTGGTTAAGAAACACATATTGATCCTGCAAAAGCAGATAATGTAAAGGCCTGCACTGTTAGAGACTAAAATGCCCATTATGGCTTACAAATCATAGGAGCATATATTTATAGAAAAACTCAAAAACTGGTAATGAATGTACCTCTGTTTGAACCATGAGTGGTCTGTGCATGCGTAAATCGTGGATGATCCCATATACATCTACTACACCATCCCGCTCAATCTGAAAGATTAACCGATCAATGGCAATGAAGGTTCCCGTGCGGCCCACACCAGCACTGTAATACGAAAACAAAAAATATGATGAAAATCACATTTTTCTTTGTGGGAGTATAATAATAAAATGGTGGTGAGCAGACCTGTTTGTATATATTGAAGAAGAGTTCAGGAACTATTCAAGTACCTGCAGTGCACAAGTGTAGGTGAATGTCTTGAGTGCTGGTCCATGTGTTCTCGGACCAGGTGTCTGAAGTTGATGAGAAGCTCAGTGGTCTCAGGCACTCCATGGTCTGGCCACGCAGTGAAATGGAATTGACGAACTGATCGAGACTCTGCTGTTTTCACCTGTTATGACAGGAATCATTTTTCCCTTGTTGACACTTTGCTTGAGGCATAACGTTATAATCGAGACAACTTGCAAACATATTACCAAAAAGATAATTCTGACTTTCAAAAATATTGTAACACTTGTATAATTTATATATATATATATATATATATATATATATATATATACACACAAACCCGACTCCAAAAAAGTTGGGACACTGTACAAATTGTGAATAAAAACAGAATGCAATGATGTGGAAGTTTCAAATGTCAATATTTGTATTCTATTGTGAATAAAATATAAGTTTATGAGATTTGTAAATTATTCCATTCCTTTTTTACTCACAATTTGTACAGTGTCCCAACTTTTTTGGAATTGGGTTTGTATATATATATATATGTGCAATTTATAACAGTTGCAGTATGTTCCTGTTTTTAGTTGTAAAAAAAAAAAAACAACTAACACTAGCTTTTCTAATCTTTTTGTATTAGATCTATTTGTCAATTTATAACAGTTGCAGTATGTTCCTGTTTTTAGTTGTAAAAAAAAAAAAAAAACTAACACTAGCTTTTCTAATCTTTTTGTATTAGATCTATTTGTTTTCTTTTTATTTATTATACAATTTAACAAAAGCAATAAAGGCCTCTAACACTAGTTTGCTCTTCTTTTTCTATTCTATCTGTTTTCTTTTTATTTATTATATAATTTATAAAAAAAACTTGCTACGTGTACTGCGTTAAGCTAACTGAGACTTGTTATAGCACTTGCATATCATTGCTCTTTTGTTGATTTTGATTGCTTCCATTGTCCTCATTTGTAAGTCGCTTTGGATAAAAGCGTCTGCTAAATGACTAAATGTAAATGTAATATATGGGTTATTTAGTGTTAGTCCAAATACACTTGGGTCCAACTGTAACATTAACATAGACTTACATTTTTCACTTCAAAGTCACGTAAAGTCCAGTCTTCCAATGGGATCTCGGAAACATTCGTCACTGTCAGATTGTTAAAATGTTTTGTCTCTGCTGGCCAGTATTCTTCACATTTTACCTGAGGGACAAAAGATTGTGGCAGAATTCATATAAGCTTATTAGTTCAATACCTGAGATGAGGTATTACAAATTATCTTAAAATGCTGAATGAGGATATGAACATTGAATATGTAGTGGTCAAGTAATTTAGGCTTTTAAAGCCTGATAATGTAGCATCATCTGACAATCAAATGAACTGAAACATAAGGAATGAAAGCTCTAACAGGTGAGATCACAGAGAAAGTGAAGTGTATACTGTACCCGTCCTTGCTCATTGCATTTGGTGAGCATGACAATAGTGTGCATGTTTTTCTCCCAGATCAGTCTCCAGAAGTCATTGACAGTGCAGGGCAGTGGCCCCTGGGCTGCGATAAACTCTTTCTTTGAAGTGTAACCCTGGAAATATCACACAGTTAGTGTGACAATTGTGTAAAGAGCTAAATGTCATATTTTTGTAGTTTTCCCCCTTCCTACCGGCATGTAGCTGGCATTGATGTAGTCATCAAATGGGCTGCTGAGCACCGAGAGCTTGACACGAGATGAATCATCTGTCAAGAACACATGAATTATTATGAATATGGGCTACGTGTCTAGAACAGAGTGGAGGAAACTCAGTGTTGTGTAACTTCACAAAGGGAAAGTCCTGTGGTTCTTACATGGCAGCACATTGTTATAACGATTCTTGGCTTTGTTTTCAGGGGCCTGAGCAACAGTCTTTGGCTGATTTATTCCAACTGGCCTTAGATCCTACAAACACATACATCCATTTATTTAAAGTCTCTCTTTTGTTTCTATTGATTTTATTACATTTACATCACAAATATTTGAACATCTGTAATAAAGCATTTGTTTCTCTGTCAATAATTCAAGAAGAGACGCAAGTGTATGTCACATATTTATGACTGAAGAGGAGCACAACACAGTCAGAGCAAACAAATCAGTCACTGCTACTACTGTTTTTGGACCACAAACAATGGTGGCATATTGGTGGTATGGAATCTAGTTGCAATACCAATTATTATTGAGAGTTGATCAGTTGTAAATATACAGAGAAGCCAAAGATATAATCACCTCAAATTCTTCAGCAAATCCACAAAAGGAATCAGCTCTTTGCCGCCTATAGTAAGCCTCATAATCCTCCACCTTTATTGGATCACTCCTATGACACCATTAAATAACCATGATAAAAAAAATATGTATTTTATTTAACTATACAGTACACCACATAACATTGTATTTATTAAATATCTGTTAATGTTAATTACACTAGTTAAACTGTACTAACAATGAACAATACTTCTACAGCATTTAATAATCCAAGTTAATGTTAATCTAAGCATTTACCAATCAGAAGTTGTATCTGTTAACATTAGTTGCTGCACTGCAGACTAACATGAACATGAAAAAGTTAAGAAATGCTGTAAAAATATATTGTTCATTGTTAGTACCTGTTAGGTAATTCATTAAACAATGTTAAAAAATGAGACCTTTTATTGTGGCTTTGTTCTGGGATATCATTATTGCTACTATGAGACAATATTTCATGTTCTTTCCCATATCATAAATCATTTTTATTGAAGCTATGAAGTCATAATTTTCAGTCAAATCATAAATACGTATGAAAATTTGTGTGGACAAACATGTATGATTACTTACACTTTGTTTCTGTAAGAAAACAAAAGAAAATATATATATTAAAAGGTTACTTTTTATGGCTCAATATTTATTCTATTGTTTGTTTCCAATGTGTATTATGCTGTTTTGAGGAGACCTGTATACTAACCTTATAGAGTGGATAGGAACACTAGTAGAATCATCTTTTCTTTGCTTCCTGTGATATTGAGAGCACACATGTAATTATCAAGTTGCCACTGTCTATTAATACTTAAAAACATTCTGTAAACAAGCAATATATATATCTTTACACACCTAAATTAGATTAGTAAAATTGTGGGGACACAATGGTAATCTTAAATCCTCTAAATCAAACAATTAAAACACTCCAAACATCAAGAATCATGTATGAAATCTGTCAAATGTCTTACCCTCTACAAACCACAACCACGATGATGATTACAACAAGAAGAGCAGCAACACCGGCTCCTGCAGCTGCTGCTCCAATTACCACTGAAAGATGGAGAAAGAATAAAGTTAACTCAGAAATTATTTATAGAATTTATGTATACACTCCAGAAATGCAGATGGAAAGATTTGTATCTAAAACTGCTGGTGCTTATGTATACATAAGTCAGGTGCACCCGTTAGAAATAAGTCTAGGATAAGTAAAGGCATCCAAATGATGAGTTCTAGTTATAAAGTCAATTAAAAAAACTAAACTAAATAGGAAAAAAAAGTGTTGTTCTTAACAATACAAGCTGTAATCTCATCTAAATGTTTGCTCTGGATGAAAATGTGCTTGTAAAACAGTAGGCTTTTACATTTGATTTAAATGTATGCTTTTGAAGAATTCTGGGTATTTGAAACACATCCATAAAATTCATGTGACATGTTACTTTGAAAACGCCAATGCAATTAAGTTAAATATTGAGAGAAAGTGTCCCAGTCTTTACCTGGGTTCTCTGGCAGTATGACGGGACTTTGGTAAAACTCAGACATGGAGTAGTATGAATTAGAAACATCCACTAAACGGTTCTTTATCTCCAGACGAGTGAAAGCAATGACAGCAAAACTGCAAGAAAGCCAAACACATAACAGCATAATGCAGAAGACAGCAACCAATGCAGTAGTGCAGCTGATGGAGCTGTGAAAGTCAGTAGTTCAGTTTAATTTAGTGATGGAAATAACCATTACATTGTTATAATGGATTTTAATGAATGCAGCACTGAAGTGAATTCAAAGTTTGGGAAGTATATTGACTTACTTGTAAGTGTCTTTTGCATTTAGTTCTCCATTTTTGTAACCTTCCCACATAGTTTCATCTCCAATGATGATTGTTTGTGTCTGTATATTTCTAGACCCTGTTTGACCCGGTTTCCTGACAACAGCCAGGAATGTGCTGCACCGCTTTGCTTTCCAGTCCTCGTAGGTGTTCAACAGGCATTGATCAAACTTGTTACTTTTGTCCAAGCAATCTGCAGGAGGTAAAACCAAAGATTTGACCATCCAAAATCCATTTAGTTGCATACGTTATTAACTTTAATGCCCCCATATTATATTACATACTGACAAGCAAAAAAGTAACAATGAAAAAAATAATAAATAAATATTTATATTTTAAATAAATGCTGATTTTTTTAACTAATTAAAAATATATCACTTTTCCACAAAAACATAAATATTTATCAGTGATGAAAAAAATAGTTTCTTAAGCACACAATCAGACTATCAGAATGATTTTTAAAGGATCATGTGATACTAAAGACTTAAGTAATGGCTGCTAAAAAATTTGTTTCGCCATCACAGCAATAAATTACATTTTAAAATATATTCAAATAGAAACAGTCTTTTTAAAATTGTAATTATATTTCAAAATATTAAATTTTTTACTGTATTTTCTAAATGCAGCTTTGATGAACATAAGAGACTTTCTACCAAGTTTTAAAAAATCATAAAAATGTTACAAATACAAATTGATGAATTCAGAGAACAAAAGTCTCAGGTTTATTTGACATACCAATAATGCTGGAGTAGACAAGCACACCATAATAGAGCACAGGACCGTTTGAGTCATTAAAGATGTCCGACTGAAGATTCAAAGTAAACTTGTTGTATTGTAGCTCAGATATACTCACTGCTGTTATTTTAGGTACAACAGGTTCTACAAACACACACACACACACACACACAAACAAGAAATATGTGATATGCACCCACATATAAACACAAAATACAAAAGAAGTAACTTTCCTTACTTGTGATTCCAGTCATACAGGTGATCGATTCCACTGTGCTCTTCTTCCCACAACCAATTGTCCAGAGCATGACTTTGTACAGAGTGTTGTACTTAAGTCCAGTGAAGGTGTGGGTTAGATTGAAGGTCATTTTTGTGTCAGAGGAGTCCAGCTTAAATTCAAAGCCTTGGTATTTACCAGGAGGAGGGCTCCATGAGACGTTAAGCATTGGAAAGGTTAAATTAGGACCCGTACAGTTCACATTATCCACTGGAGCTGCATCTGCACACAGTAAAACACACCCAAGACAATATTATTTGACCTTTATTTGAATTAAGACATTTAAAACGATATCTACTGAACTTCACCCGGACTAAAGAGTTTCATGATTATTGTATCAGCATTTTTAAAGTAGACATGTCTGTGCGAGCTGGAAAACTACACCACTACACAGCACAGGAAATAACAATTCAGCGCCGAATGCTGCAAATGGCTTTTTTCATACAGTTCTGCTTTAAAACCATGTATAACAGTATATAGTGTTTGTACTAACCAGTGCATGCTTGCAGCCACACAGCTTCTCCTTCTGTGTTGTCCGAAGTGCTGCTCTGCACACTGATGTTATAGAGTGTTGAAGGCATCAGACTGTGTATAGCCATGCTGTTATTTATAGTGGTTGTGTTTTTCTCTTCCTTCTCACTGTACACTCTTACTACATATTTTGGGACCCCTTCCACTTTTGCCCAAATGACAGAAATGCTATTTATTGTTGTGGAACCAACTTGTAGGTTTTGGACAGGATCAGGTTCTGAAAACAGATGCGGGGAGAAGGATGAAGACTTTAGAGGAGAGGAAACTCCATCCCAACAGCATAAAACGTCATAATTTTGTGATAATGGAACAAATGGAAATTAAAGTCATTATTTACTGACATGCCAAGTGGTATGGACTACTTTTTAAGCACATTTTGGAGTCCTCCAGTCCTCTCATTATATAGAAGAAAGGATAATTTTTCATAATTCATCTTTTGTGTTCCATTGAAGTAATGATAAAGTAAATGATAACCGCTATTTTTAATCTGTGAATGAACTATTCCTTTTTATTTGTCCTTTTAGGATCAGTGTACTCGCAAAATGCATTCAAAGACAATTCAATGTGTAAATATTCCATACACTACTGTTTGAAAGTTTGTGGTTGGTAAGACTTTTTTCTGTTTTTGAAAGAAATCTCTTATGATCACCAAGGCTGCATTTATTTGATCAAAAACACAGTAACCACAGTAATATTGTGAAATATTATTACAATTTAAAATAACAGCTGTCTATTTGAATATATTTTGAAATGCAATTTATTCCTGTGATGGCAAATTTCAGCAGCCATTATGCCGGTCTTCAGTGTCATCTCATGTCAAATCATTCTAATGCTCTGCTTTGCTTCTCAAGAAACATTTCTTATTATTTAAACTATTGAAAACAGTTTTAAAAAAGCTTAACATTTTTGTGGAAACTGTGACACATTTTATTTGTCAGAATTCTTTGATGAACAGAACGTTCAAAAGACATTATAAACATTATTAATCTCAAATTTGATCATTTCAATGTGCCCTTGCTCAGTATTGTTGGATTAATTTCTATAAAAAAAAATATTTTAACCACAAAATGTGTATATCTTGGAATATTATTTCAATGTAACTGATCAGTTCTATAATTTCGGAAGTGCAGAACTTACTGGTGGTAACATGAACTCTGATAGAGTCACTCTGGAAACCCATCGGGCCTACAGTAGCCACAGAAACATTATAGGGTGTTCCAGATCGCAAGCCGTCCAAAAGGAAAGTGTTATTAGGAGTGAGATATTGACTGGTATTATAGCTGGGCCAGTAGGTCAGGCTGTAGTTGAAGCTGCCAGCTGTCATGCTCTCAGCTTCATCCCATTTAAACAACAATGAATGACTGCTCTTCAACAAAATCTTAATCTCTCCTGGTCTGTTGGGATCTGCAACACAATTAGAATCTATAAACACTACGGTCCACTATGGTGCATGCTTACAAAGTCACGAGATGTCCTAACACATGATTTCCTAACTATGTTTGGAGTTGAATACTCACAAGTTGCCATTTTTACTGAACGAGATGTTTCCCAGAAGGTTGCTTTGACAGTTGTGAGTGTGACTGTGAAGACAGTTGCTGCTTTCAGTTGACTGAAGGTGTGATTGTGTTCAGTGCTATTGAGAACTTTAGAGCTGCTCCATCCTTCACTGCTGATGTTCAGAATGTACAGGTCCAGCCCACCAACAGGATGATCCCACGTCACCAAGAGTGAGTGATTAGAGCCTTGATTATATAGTTTGGGAATCACTGTAGAGGGCTCTTTGGAGAAAAAAAAGAGAGAGAGAGAGAGAAAAAAAAAAGAAAGTAAAGTGGTCAAAAAGAGAGTATGTTAAAGTTCGAGTTCACTTTTATTGTCATTCAGCCCTGACATGGGAGAATTAAATTATGTTTCTCTCACAGGTCCGGGCAATAATTCATATAAAGGCATTAACAATATATAAACAATATATACAAGTCGATTTTTGATTACTGATTAGTATATGGAGTACAATTACAATAAATCAGACAAGACGACAATAAACATAATATATAAGACATATATTGTAAGACACATTAGAAATACTTCTGTATTGTCTTCCCAAAGGCAGTGATACAAAAAGTGTATAAGAGGGGTGAGTATGTGTAGGAGTACATACTTGTTAAGACAGAGACGTTCACTGGTCGTCCCAGAATGCCGCAGGCAAAACTATACACACTGAACTGACACAGGGTGCCAGGCTGCAAGTCTGGAACTGTGATGTTTTCAGAGAAAGTCGACAAGTTCCGACTATTTTCTGTGCAGTTGGACACGAAAACGTGGTAGGAAAAGCCACTGTGGTACTGCAGAGGACGGGACCAGCTCAGCTTCACGGCAGAAACATTCAGAACTTCAGGGTTTACAGAGGAAACCGGAAACGGCTCTGGAAAACAAACATACAAGTTACTGTAGAGCAGATGTGATAGCATGATATATGTAGCAAATATGTATTAAGTACTGTGTTGCCATAAGCAGTGTGGTTACTTACTATTGCAGGCAGTTATAAACTGGGGATCAGACTTGGTGCCGCCAGCTGTCTGTGTGACAATGCTGATATTGTATTGACTAGCTGACTGCAGTGACAGTAGCTGCGCTGTGGTGTTACTCACAGTCTTCTGGTCAGCTGTGCCATTATGGTGTGTGAAGGTGAGCAGGTAGGAGTAACCGAATTGCTGAACATCAAGCTGCTGCCAGCTCAGAGTTATACTAGTCTCTGTATATCCAATCACTCTTACATCAGTTACTGCAGAAGGATCTGAAAACGATTCATAAAAAACACATAAACATCTGTTCAAAAATGGGCTGTACAGCACCAAGGGTCCTATTCGCTAACAAACTGCATTAACCACCAGTATAGCATACAATAATAAGTTCCAACATACAAATTCCTTAAAGGGACAGTTCAACCAAAAATGAAAATTCTGTCATCATTTATTCACTCTCATGCCATTCCAAACCCATAAGACTTTAATTCTTCTTTAGAACTCAAATGAAGAGATTTTAGTTCTTTTCATATACAGTAATTTTTATATCCATTGCAACCAAAATTTTCAAGCTTCAAAAAGTTAATAAACTTCATAAGTAATCCATATGAATCGAGTGGTTTAATCCAAGTCTTCTGAAAGGACATGATCACTTTAACAGAATTAACTTAGGCTTTTATTCACATATGTGACCCTGTACCACAAAACCAGACATAAGGGTCATTATTTGGAAACTGAGATTTATACATCATCTGAATAAATAAGCTTTCCATTGGTTTGTTAGGATAGGACCATATTTGGCTGAGATACAACGATTTGAAAATCAGGAATCTGAGGGTGCAAAAAAATCAAAATATTGAGAAAATCGCCTTTAAAGTTGTCCAAATGAAGTTCTTAGCAATGCATATTACTAATAAAAAATTAAGCTTTGATATATTTACGGTAGGAAATTTACAAAATATCTTCATGGAACATGATCTTTACTTAATATCCTAATGATTTTTGGCATAAAAGAAAAATTGATCATTTTGACCCATACAATGTATTGTTAGCTATTGCTATAAATATCCCAGTGCGATTTACAGTATGACTGGTTTTGTGGTCCAGGGTCACATATAAACATTGATCAACATACATAGAGTGAATCAAATTTGGTAAATAGAATCTCAACCATACTTGCTTAGCGTGTGAGAACTTCATTAGTTTTTATGCACAAGGCCAGCACAACACTAAGTTAAATCTGTTCATAAAATATATGTACAACAATTATGACAGAATATTAAAAATAGCTTTATTTGAGTTTCTAAGATGAACAAAGATCTTATGGAGCAACAGGTGAGTAAAAAATGTCTGAATTTTAATTTGAACTATCATCTTCTTCCAAAGAACCATCTATTTTAATTCAATGACAAAAATACTGCACACGGACATTTCTTTCTTTTTCAACAATGCAACATTACAACCTTTTGGATTTCCATCCACCATATTAAATCAGATACCTGTCTACAGCAAGCAACATGGATAAGTCAACAAATGTGCATTGCTTACTTGTATATGCAGTGAGATACTTAGGAGAGCTGAAATATCCCATTGCACCTACAGTCCTCACACTGATGTTGTACTGGACACCTGCACTGAGTCCCGTCAGAGAGCTGTAGTTTTGGCTGCAGTTCAGCATGCTGTTGCTGTATGACAACTGGAAGTAGTGTGATACTGAGCTCATGTTAAGTGGTCGAGCCCAGCTGATGTTCAGTGAGTTTGTGCTCCGCACTATCACAAACTCGCCAGGAGGAGTGGGCACTGGAATGACAACAATATAAATCACAGCTGCGATACACACACAGGCATAGAGCACCACCCACAGGCCATCATGTGACAGTCTCATTTACTCATTTGTACTGTATGTTATAAATTACGAAATCCATTAATGGTTTTATAAACGTTTGCAGCTGTAACACAAACAGCTAATGGTGACCTAATACCCAAAACTCAAACTTTTACTTTAAAACTTCAAACCGTTAGTAACACATGTTGTGCAAAAGTATTAGGAAACTTACGCGATTTCTAAAAACTGCACAGTCGTGTAAACAGTGCAATACCCTTTCTTGAAAAAGACACACTTAAGTACTATTTTCAGTGTAATATGCCTGGTTAAAACTGATTAGTCAGCTCTTTGCTTCTGAAAGCAAATGCCTTAACTTCCTTTTCCCACACTCAAAGTGCATGCAAATCAGTATATGGTGATACAACAGTATGTAGTGTGTGTTTTATTCATGTGTAGGGCTTGTACATACATAATTCAAAGTGTGTGCTTGTTTTGGGGTTTGTGAAGGGTCTTACAGGTGGCATTGGATACACTATCGCTGTCCTGCCTTATGGGTCCACTGACACTTGTGACAATGACATTGTACTGAGTTCCAGGTAGCAGGTCTGAGAACAGCACGGTTGTCGCATTCGTTCGGTTTTCTGTCTTTAAAACAGTTCTGTTCAACAGGATTTTGACGTTGTAGAGTATCACAGTGCCATCAGGTGGTCTCCACTCCACTCTCATGCTCTGAGTAGTGCCAACCGCAGAAATATTGGATGCTTTACCAAGCCCTGATAACACCAAATAAGAGAGGAGGAAAAACTATTCAATAGCACAGACCAACAGACAAAACTGTAAGCAACACAGATGGAAAGTTATGATACAAAGCCATTAATGGGTTGCAATATAAAATGAACAAGTTTTTGGGTAATATGTGAATTGTAATACCTGTAAATGCAGAGATGGCTACAGAATCAGAGCTCATGCCATTTGCAACAGTTTTCACAGTAAAGGTGTAGTTGTTCCCGGCGACAAGGTTAGTGACATTTGCAGTCTCACTGATACTCTGTATCCATCGTTCGCCATTTACACTCAAATTATACTGATATGAAGGTTTGTAGTCAATCTGATGGCGCCATGAAAGGCACATCTCAGTGGTGCCAACAGGAGAGGCTGTTAAATTAGTCACTGGCAGTGGCTCTGAAAGAGAATGCACAGTCATTTTCTGCACTTATTACATATCAATGTGTGTGAATTATAGTAAGCAAAGACTAAAGACCTTAGCCAAGGTAGAAGCCATATTGAATTTAAAGTGAATGAAAACAAGGCTTTTGAGGGATAGACTTGCTGCCTTTAAAATGGTGTGAACTGAATAAAGGTTCAAGATCACATGTAATTTCCACAACTCACAACCTTTAAAACTGTTTTAGGCAGTTTTGTCCAATGAAAGTGTATTTAAAGATGTTACAATCCCGAACAATCCATTGTACGTACTGTACTTTAGCCTGACAGCCTCATTTTCATTCCTGTCAAAAGTTAATTATGCTGCTATCTTGACAAAAGTCTATTAGGTAAAGATTAATATTAATATTCAGAACAATATGGTTAAGCCAGTCATTATTTTAATGTTCTGGCTAAGAGACAATAAATGGCAGATAAAATTGTATACAATTTTGTCTAAATGGAAAAATGCAATAAATGCTACTGAATTTAGGCATCTTAACATCATAATATAGTATAAAATAATGAATGTTCATTTGAGATTTGCTATAGGCTACTTTTCAGTGTTAATACATTATTAGTGTTTTTTTAAAGATTAATTGGTATCAATCTGGTATAGGGACCAATTCTCACTATTAACTAGTTGCTTATTAGCATGCATACTATTAACATATTGGCTGTTAATTTGTACTTATTTGTATTGTTTACTTCAGGGCTGTCCAAACTCGGTCCTGGAGCGCCGGTGTCCTGCAGAGTTTAGCTCCAACTTACCTCAACGCACCTGACTGGAAGTTTCTATGCCTAGTAAGAGCTTGATTAGGTGGTTCAAGTATTTTTAATTAGGGTTGGAGTTAAACTCTGCAGGACACCGGCCCTCCAGGACCGAGTTTGGACAGCCCTGGTTTACTTGTATTGTACTACCTTACTAACTATTAATAAGCAGCGAATTAGAAGTTTATTGAGGCAAAAGTCATAGTTAAAGGTTTGTTAATAGCGAGAATTGGACTTTAAAATAAAGTGTGACCGATAAACTTAAAGATGAGGGGGGGGGGGGAATCTAAATGTAAAAATAAGACAAGATAAAAATAATTCCAAAGTCGCCTGATAAATGTCTATGTTGATCAAATTCTGTAGTATCGACAAATAACCAATATGGTATGGTACCAATATACTGTATATTCCTAGTATTAGGCATATATTAAAAAAGGTTACCACTTATTATATAGTCTATATACACAAACACACAAAGAGGGATAGCAGCATTGTAAAATTAAAGCATAATGCAAAATGCCCATTACTTGCCTGAAAACATCATTACACAAAACTTACACAAAAATATTTAACATTTTACTGTATGACAGTACATCTACAGTTTGGAGAGAGATGTGTAGTATTTACACTCACTGGTATTACACTGTATGAGCTGTGAGGGTCCAAATATGTTGGCAGCCATTATGAGTGCTCTGACGCTACAATTATACTGAGTCCCAGGCTGCAACGGAGTAATCTGATAATTGTTGGATGTGGTATTGAGAGTCTGATCAGGTGAAGTTATGTTGATTCTGTAGGAGAACAGGTTGAAGTTCCCATTAGGGGGGAGCCAGGTCAAATTGACTGAATTGGTGCTCACAGCAGAAACAGCCAGATTTTGCACTGCATTAGGAGCTGTGGAAACACAAACATGCTTATGCAACCATACACCCTGTAAAATAATCTGTAAATCTAATTTGCGGTTTTTACCATCAACAGCTAAAATGCATGCTGTGCGCTTTACAGTACCTGTATATGCAGGGAGGTTTACATTTGAGCTCCTGAGATCTTTTTCTCCTATGGTGACCACAGTGATGTTGTACTGACTGCCGGGTAATAAATTTGTGAGTGTCATGTTTGAAGAGTTGGTATGACTCAAAGTTAGGTTGACCCCTGGCTGGTTAGATATATATGATACTACATAGGACACAGTGACTCCATCCATTGATAAGGGTTTCGACCACAGCAAAGAAATAGACACATCGGTCTGTCCGCTCACTTGGACAGCTTCGGGCGGGTTAGGCTCTAAAGGGAAATATCACACACAAATACATGATGGTTCTGCAGATGTAGGGTTGTGTTTGATGTTATGGTGATGGAGATGAAGAGTGTGTGAAGTTTCTGACTCACTAGTGGCAACCAGCACTATGTTAGAGCTGTTTTTCAGGACTCCACTGATGGTGGTCACAGTGAGGTTGTAAACACGTCCTGCCATGAGGTTACTGATGACTGAAGAGTTGATGGGAGGGTTACAGTTGATGGATGTGTTCAGCTCGGCACCAGATACGTTCACCATATACGAGTCCACATGACCAAGAGGGACTGCCCACTCCACGGTCAAACTACTGTTACTGGAATTCAGAACAGTGATATTCTTCACTTGTGCTGGACCTACACAAAAACAATCAGACTTTCGTTAAAATACATACACGACTGTTCAAAAGTTTGGGGTCAATTTTTTTCTTTTTTAAAGGAAGGTTATATGAATTGATCAACAGTGAAATATTTATAATGTTAAAAAAAAATAGATTTTAAAGAAATGCTATTCTTTTAAACTTTCTATGCATCACACTTTCCACAAAAAAATAAGCATCACAACTATTTTCAACATTGATAATAAAAGAAATGTCTTGAGCACCAAATTAGCAAATTAGAATGATTTCTGAAGGATCATGTGACACTGAAGAAAATTCAGCTTTGCCATTATAGGAATCAATACATTTAAAAATATTAAAATAGAAAACTGTTACTTTAAATGTTAATAATATTTCACATTATTACAGTTTTACTGTATTTTGATCAAGCAAATGCAGCCTTGGTGAACATAAGAGAATCTTACATAAAAAAAGAAGTCTTACTGATCCCAAACTTTTGAATGGTAATGTAAAAGTAAACACACACAAACCTTTGATTTACTCCACAATACAATAAAGGCACCTTTAAACTCCCTATTCTCTTCTGCTATAGTACTTACTTGTGTTTTGGGATATCTCAGCAGCACGCCCCTCAGTGCGGTTATCAGAGGCCACTGAGGTGACGCTGAAGGTGTATTTGGTGCCGGGTGCAAGTTGTGAGATTAGCATGGAGGTTTGGTTAGTAGTGAGAAGCAGGTTTACACCCCAAGCTACTCTATAATAAAGGCTGATGCCATTTTGAAGTGTCCAGTTCAGGTTCACTGAGCTCACAGTGATGGAGTGCACAGACAGGCTACTAACAGGCTCAGGGCCTATCAGTGCAAGAGAGTGGACATGGACATGTGTGAGTGTGAGAAAGTGGACATGGACACCCAAAAATGAAAGTCTGTCATTATTTACTTACTCCCATAAAACAGAGATGTTTAGCAAAACATTTACGTTGCTTTTTGCTATACAGTGAAAGTGGATGGTTACCAAAAGCTGTCAAGCTCCAAAACGGAAAAGTTTTCAAATGTAATTTGTGCATGCACATATTCCAATATGATTTGTAGCAATCAGTCAGGTCACATGCAATAACCAATGAATTCGGCATAAGTTATGTCAGAACTGTCTTAATGCACAACAATTTGAATATGCATATGCACAAGTGAGTTGTGAGAGTTCCAACTGAGGGAAAAATGTAAACATTGATTCCTCACACAAAGTTATCATACTGTATGATTTTTAAAGACATATTTTTGTGTCCTTTCTGGAACTTGGCAGACTCTGGTCATCATTCATTTCACTGTATGGAAAAAGCCCCAGACATTGTTAAATATCTTATTTTGTGTTTAACTGAAGAAAGCAAGCCATTAAAGTACAACATGAAGGTGAGTAAATGATGACAGACCTTTCATTTAGAAATGAAGGTTTTTGGTAACACTTTACTTAAAGCCTTTAGGTATAATGCATTATAAAGGGTTATTAAAGGGTATAACGCATTATATTTATTCATAATGTGTGTTGTAATACATTATTTCTTGTCATAAATAATTGTAACCCAATTTAAAATGCACAGTGTAACAATTAATTAATAAGTGTTATTATACAGGTATGGTGGCCGAGATTTTTCAAAGTGTTGCAAATGAAAAAACCCATGCAAATAGAAAAAACACCTGAAAATTAAGAAAAAATCTTCATCAATTTGACAACACATTTGCTGCAAATGTGCTGCAAAACTCACAACACAAACAAATACAGAAGCACACTGCAAAAACAGAAACGCGCTGCTAGCAAAAGACAGTGTAAAGAAATACTTTTTGAGAGAAGCAGTCAATCAGCGGAAGTTAAAAGCGGATCATAAGTATTTATTTCTTGTCTCAGTGTTTAGCGCAGTTGTCATTGCTAGGAAACGCTTGTTTTGTTTACTCTGTTGAGACGTGCTGAAGTTGCGTTTGGTCTCGTACTCTATGGCATACCTTGTCCGCGTCGTGTGCTTTCTTAGCCCTTTGTTGTGATAAACAGTAAAGTGTGTTCAGCTGAATTCAATTTCTGTTTTGTCAAACGGGTATAAAAAAAAGTTAGTATACCGCGGCAGCCCTCGTGTGAAGACCATCGACTCTACCGTGCAGGGACACCGGCAAGGGACATAAGTATCGCTTTTGATTCATCCTCTTTTCTACACCTTGCTTCACTTCTGTTTCAGTTTTAATGACCAATTCTTATTATGTGTTTCCATATCCCTACTATTATTACCACTCGCAAACCACGCATCACACACTGTAGGCAGCGCAATCCTAACAACCTGTCTGCTAATACACTAATTTATTTTTCTATTGGAATTGTCAGTCTGCAGTAAACAAAGCAGATTACATTACATCTATTTCTTGTCATTCAAGACTAAACCTCATGGCCCTGACAGAGACATGGATCAAACCAGAGGACACTGCTACTCCTGCAGCACTCTCCAATCATTTCTCATTTTCCCACCCTCCCCGTCTGACTGGAAGAGGTGGAGGTACTGGTCTGCTTATCTCTAATGATTGGAAATGTATTCCTTTACCTTCTCTGGGTATTAACAGCTCCTTTGAATCACATTCAGTCAGACTTCAACATCCACCTAGATAAACCTCAGGCTGCAGACTTCCACACTCTGCTTGCCTCTTTTGATTTCAAGCGAGTGTTAACTACGGCTACTCACAAATCAGGTAACCAACCGGACCTTATTTGCACGCGTCACTGCTCCACTGATAATGTGCTGGTTACTCCACTGCACACCTCGGATCACTTCCTCCTCACTCTTAACCTCAACATGGTTCCTGACACAGCACATACCCCTCCACTTGTCCCTTTTTGACGTAACCTACGCTCACGCTCACCCTCTCGGCTATCTACTATGGTTTCATCTTCGCATCCTCCCCCTAAACAGTTAGCATCTCTTGATGCTAAAAGTGCTAGTGATACTTTTGGCTCCACTCTTACATCTTGTTTAGACACTGTCTGCCCCTTGTCTTCCAGGCCAGGACATCCCACCCCTTCTGCCCCTTGGCTGTCTGATGTTCTCCGTGAACAACGTTCTAAGCTCAGGGCCGCTGAAAGGATGTGGCGCAAATCAAAAAATCCTACTGGCTGACTGTGTATCAGTCACTCCTCTCTTCCTTCTCTGCTCATGTCTCCATGTCCTAAAAGGACATACTATCATAAAATTATAAATTCGTCTAACTCTCGCATGCTCTTTAAAACATTTTCCTCCCTCCTTTGTCCTCCCCCTCCTTCATCAACTCTAAAAGCTGACGACTTTGCCACGTTCTTCGTTAATAAAATTAAAACCATTAGTGCACAATTTTCCACACCAAAATCTGTCAAGCACATCTTACCAGCAAACATACACTCATTCACATCCTTCTCTTCACTCTCTGAGGCAGAAGTCTCCAAACTCATCCTTTCGAATCACCCTACTACTTGTCCTCTTGATCCTATTCCATCTCATCTCCTTCAAGCCATTTCTCCAGCTGTTGTACCTGCACTCACTCACATCATTAACACATCCCTTCACACTGGTGTTTTTCCCTCAGCATTTAGACAGGCTTGTATAACCCCTCTTCTTAAGAAACTCACCCTTAACCCATCTCTTTTAGAGAACTACAGACCGGTTTCCCTTCTTTCTTTCATTGCAAAAACAATCTTGGAGAGCTGAGGTGTCCAAGTCACAACATCGAACTACTGGGGTGCCTCAGGGCTCAGTTCTTGGACCACTTCTCTTCTCGGTCTACATGGCATCACTTGGTTCTGTCATTCAGAAACATGGCTTTTCATATCACTGCTATGCTGATGACACTCAACTCTACCTCTCATTCCGTCCTGATGATCTGACGATAGCTGCTCGCATCTCAGCTTGTCAAACAGACATTTCTTGCTGGATGAAGGACCATCACCTTCAACTCAACCTTGCCAAGACAGAACTGCTTGTGGTTCCAGCAAACCCATCGTTTCATCACAATTTCACCATCCAGTTAGGCACATCAACCATAACTCCTTCAAAAACAGCCAGAAACCTTGGAGTTATGATTGATGATCAGCTGACTTTCTCAGACCACATTGCTAAAACTGCCCGGTCCTGCAGATTTGCTTTATTCAACATCAAGAAGATCATGCCCTTTCTTTCGGAACATGCTTCACAACTCCTTGTTCAAGTTCTTGTTCTGTCCAGGCTGAACTATTGCAATGCTCTCTTGGCAGGTCTTCCAGCCAGCTATATCAAACATTTACAATGAATCCAGAACACGGCAACAAGATACATTTTTAATGAGCCAAAAAGAATGCACGTCACACCTCTGTTTATCAATTTGCACTGGCTACCAATAGCTGCTCGCATAAAATTTTAGGCATTAATAATGTTTGCCTACAAAACCACCACTGGCTTTGCACCACTTTACCCAAATTCATTACTTCTGAGTTATGTGCCCTCTAGAAGCTTGCGTTCTGCAAGTGAAAGTCGCTTTATTGTGCCATCCAGTCCTTAGCCATCTTCAAGAATTGGCTAAAAACACATCTCTTCCATCTTTATTTGACCCTCTAACTCTAGCACTCTCTAATCTAATTCTATTCTTTAAAAAAAAACTTGTCCCTTTTAGACTTCATTTACTGCTTGTTTTCTTAAAAAAAAACTAATACTAGCTTTTCTAATCTTTTTGTATTCTATTTGTTTTCTTTTTATTTATTATACAATTAGCAAAAGCAAAAAGGCCTCTAACACTAGCTTGCTCTATTATTTTTCTATTCAATCCGTTTTCTTTTTATTTACTATATAATTAAAAACCTTACTACCTTACTATGTACCGAGTTAAGCTAACTGAGACTTGTTATAGCACTTGCATATCACTACTCTTTTGTTGATTTTGATTGCTTCCATTGTACTCATTTGTAAGTCGCTTTGGATAAAAGCGTCTGCTAAATGACCAAATGTAAATGTAAATGTAAATAGGCACAGACCACCTCGGAAATGTTTAAGGGAACTGCAAAGTGACAAACATGGCTGGGACATATTTATCAATGTTTGCTCTGAAAGGTGATATTTTTGTTTATTTTAACATCCTGCTCATACGATTCCTTATAGATTTTTTTGGGATATTATTAGCCTAAATAAGCTGACGAAATACACAATTACTGTAACTGTGAAAGGTTATGTAAGTTGGCTAACTTACTTTTACAATTTCCCTTACAAAAAATATCCATAGCCTATGGTTTTACTATTAAAATTAATTAATAAATACATTATTAAAAATAAATAAAAACAAAAATGGTTACTATAGTTAAACCATGGTATGCACAAATTAACCATGGATTTACTACACTAACCATAGTTTAACCATGATATTTGTACAACTCTGGTTACACAAATGGTAATCAATACGCCAAAAAAAAATTTTTTTTAATTTGTTAATTTTCGTTTTGTTGGGGTAATTTTGTTGTGGTCTGTGCTACTTGTGCGTTTCTTTATTTGTTTGTGTTGTGAGCATTTGCAGCACATGCGCTGTCAAACTGATGAAGATGTTTTCTTTATTTGCTGGTGCTTTTTTTATTTGCATGTGTTTTCTGAAGTTGCAGCACGTTGGGGTCTCTCGGCCACCGTATTATTATGTATTAACTGTGGTTACAATAATTCATGAAATTGTACAATCCATTATAAAGTGCATTAAAAGGCATAATTAATGCATTCAAACTACTTTTATAATGCATTATACATTAGTAAAGTGTTACCAGGTTTTCTTTAATGCAATTTCCTGTAACTGTACACATTCATGTTTTTAGAAACACTGTGCAATATCATATCATACATTTTTTAATTATTCATGTTTTACTCAAATTAAACAAAAATGCTACTCTATAAAAAGGATGGTGTTGTTTCAGCTGTCTAAAACACACCATATCCAAATATCTTTTTATTTTAAGTTAAGTTGATACATTATAAAGTAAAAAGATTTTTTATTATTGATTGTGATTGGCTAGGACTTACGGAGGGTAAAAGACTGATTGATCAGTGGAAACTGGCCTGTCCAGTTCAGATACACTGAGGTGGAGTTGGGCTGCATGATAGTCAGATTGCTGGAATAGTCTGTTGTGCAAGTAGAAAAATATTGAGAATGTGAGTGACTGAAAGAATGAGAAAAGTGCATGAAAGGGTGATATGGTGAATGTGATATTGAATGCAAAATATTATTTTCATCCTTTCCGGACAACAGTGGCCTTAATGTTCAAAGTCGTTATTAGAAGTGGTAAAGACTTACTGGTGGAGAGGTTTGCGCAGCACACAACTGAACAGTTGATCTTGAAGAAATACGTGTTTCCAGGCAGCAGTCCAGTTACTGTGATGCTATTCTGAGCACTTGTAATGCTGGCGTTCTGCACACTGCAGGAGGAGCTGTCTCCAACAAACATAGTGATGTCTGAGGTTGTGGAGTTTGTCTTATATTGGCACACTGCACCTAAATAAAGACATAAAACCAGCATATGGTAGGTAAATGCCCAACATTATATGATGATGCAAATCACATCAAGTGGTTTAAGCTTAAAAGTACTGGTAAATAATTGATCTCCCCAATCTCCCCAATCACTGATACAGACTGCGCAAATAAAGACCTATTCATCAAGAAAAGTGAGTTTCAAGATGATTATACTTACAGTCAGAGTGCCCACGAGGGATCTGGGGAAAAGAACAACATAACTTTATCAATTTATTATGGTTTCATTTTCCTTGCCGATTAGCTGCACATGAATCCACAGCAGTAAGAAGCTTAAGCAAGTTTCAAATTACAAATAAAGCACAACTTCTTTGACAACTTCCATTGTGCAATATCTGTTTCAGATATAGATCTATTATTTGCCCCACAGTGACGTCAGATGAGCTCTATATGAAAAAAGAGCATGTATACACAGTGTAGTATAATGTTACTAAAAAAACTGAAGTTAACTATTAATGCACATGTTGAGCCAATGTTGTGTGAAGTCCAAACTGGCCTGACAGTTCTCTTTACCTGCATTGAAGTTCAACTAAACTTAACCACAAATCAAAACATCATTCTTCCTTTCAAGTGGATTATTTGGCCATCTGGGAATTTAGAAACACATTCATAAGCTATATTTACCCACCACTAGTGAAATTAGTAGGGCCAATTAATTACTGTACTTTATAAAGCTAAAATATTACTAATTGTGCTACTTGGAAAAAGCTAAAATATACAATACTTTTTTTTTGATTAACACTTTCTGGTCACCACTTGATTTTCATTAATGTCTTATTTCACATTGTTGATGAGTTCAGTAGCATTCTAAAATGTTGTGAATAGTAATAAGGATGAGTAGGTGTATAAAGTATATAGATGTAAGTGCCTGGCATGATATGCTACTACATTTCTTTATTCTGCCCATTTCCCTTTCCTAGTTCTTCTGAGCAATATTTTCTTTGGCCTATTATGAAACTGACACCCACCGCCTGGCTATGATTGGTTGCTTATCTGGGACATCTTCATTGTCAAATTTGTAAAGGAAATCTGATATTTTTTTCTGCTCGAGTCACAACTTCCGTATTGGTAACAACAATACTTTCATAAACACATTTTTTTAACCCTGTGGTTAGATTCTAGTCACAAAACAACGTGTAACAGTAAGAATGAATAGAATACAAACACAATTCATCTAAATCCACTCCATCCAAATAATTTTTTGAAATGATTAAATCTAAAAACTTTGGACAGCTTATTTTGTTTAGAATAACTGTTACTGGTGTTAACAGCGTGTAACTAATACAGCATCTTTGATAGTCGTCATCTGAGTTCACACATGACTTAAAGGGGTCCAATTATGCTTTTTCACCTTTTCAACTTTATTTAGTCTGTAATGTTGCTGTTTGAGCATAAAAAAGAGCTGCAAAGTTACAAAGCTCAAAGTCCACTTCAAAAGGAGATAATTTATTTAACAGAAATCACTTTTCAAAAACTACAACGAACAACTCGTTTGGACTACAAAGTATATTTTCCGGGATTTGTGATATCACAAATATCGACGAATGGGACGAGACCTGGTTGAGCTGCATTAGAGAAGGCAACAAGTGTTATCACTATGTCGGAGACACGCTAGCTTTCCCAAGGCAGACGAACTTAGAGTGGTTACAATCATCCGGGTTTAAATCGCACTCAAATTTATTTGATTTTTACGCAATATATACACTGAAGCTCACAGCTATGGTAGGGGCATGACATTTCCCGACCAGGCGCCGAGTGCTGCCAATCACAAGACACACTGACTCAGCTAACCAATCACAGCACATTTCGTATTTCAGAAGGCGGGCCTTCATTTGATTCAGGAACTGTTCGAGCCATTCATGTCAGACTGGGGAGAGAGGTGTTGTAATAATGTAAAATATGTGAAAAATAATGTGTTTTTTTCGAACAACCTAGTATGAGAGCCTGTTCTAGTACACCCCCAAAACAAAATCAAGACTTTGTAAAAGAGCATAATAGGACCCTTTTAAATCAAGTGTGGCATGCCTGCTGACACCACACATACACATTTTTTATCAATGAGATAAAGACACATTGATACATTATGCATTATACGACTCATAGACTGCAACGGTTAAAGTTAAAAATCATCATATGTGTTCTACTGAAGAAACAAAGTCACCTACATCTTGGATGCCCTGGGGGTAAGCAGATAAACATAAAATTTTCATTTTTGGGTGAACTATCCCTTTAAGGGGTCATATGATGCGACTTCAAGTTTTCCTTTCTCTTTGGAGTGTTGCAAGCTGTTTGTGAATAGATAAGATCCCTAAAGTTGCAAAGACTAAAGTCTCAAACCCAAAGAGATATTCTTTATAAAAGTTAAGAGTCAGCCACACCTACCTAAAACGGCTCGTTCTAACGTTTATAATGGGTTTTATTGGTTTTGTCTCGCCGCTCCGGCCTGACAGGGCATCACAGTATGGTAGGGGCGTAACATTTCCGTCACACGCTTGAGGTATTCAGCCAATCACAACGCACTGGATAGCTGGCCAATCACAGCACACCTCGCTTTTCAGACCGATGAGCTTTGTAAAAATCGACACGTTCCAGAAAGGCGGGGCATAGAGAAGAAACAATAATGTACAGTATGTGGAAAATAATGTGTTTTTTAACCTTAAACCGCATAAACACATTTCATTACACCAAATACACAACAAAATGTTCTTTTTAGCAACGTCATATGACCCCTTTAATTCCTGGTAAGAGACATGCAGTATTCTTGACTTCATGTCAAAGCCAAAATAACAGACATGGCAGAAAGGAAATTCAGTTGTCCATTAAGGAAGTTATTAGGGCTGTGCGATAATTAATTGAAATCGCATCGAAATCACGATTTGAGACGTTGCGATTTCCTAATCGCAAAGCCTGCGATATGGACGCGATATTACTTTGTTCCAGAGCATATGCATGACTGCCAGCCTTGAGTGGCAGTCTTACTAACCAATAGAGTGATGGCAGTATGGAGGAGGCTTGACGCACGCGCGCAACCTGACTATGTCGACTCGCGCATGGCTCCGCGTTTAAAACAAGTGTAAACTCAGTCTAACTGCATGCTAATTTCACTTGGATGAAATGAGACATTCAGCACATTTTCCACTTGCTCTTAAAATCCCAAATACTTAAAATGAATAAATCAGCCTATGTAACATATGTAATACTTTAATAATTGACTTAAGAAATACAGCTCTTTATTTATAAAAAATAAACAAATATTTTCTGTGAAATTCAGTAATTAAGTTAATACTGTAAAAGTACTTATACCATTATAATCTTGCCTGCTGAAAAACAACAACAATAGAACCCCTCCCAAAACACAATAACAAATGTAATGGATTTCAGGGTTATAATGGGAATTGTATTGGTTTTAATGTAAACTATAATGGTGTCTATTTGATGGATTCTACTGGTGGGATGTAATCTGGCAGATGGCAACCAATAGAACAACAGTAATTCCTATTGGAATAATGCCCAAAACAAAAAGGAATTTTGTAATGGTTTAATGGAAACTATACGAATTTCTGTGATAGTTTCTATTGTTTTTTTCAGTAGGGTAATGATACCCATACTGTGCTGCACATTATTGGCAATATTGAGCTGAAGCTTGACTTTGCAAATTTAAAATCGCAAATCAAATCGCAATATCTGTCAAAAAAAAAAATCGCAATTTGATATTTTCCCCCAAATTGCACAGCCCTAGAAGTTATTATGTAAACTTAAAATAATAATAGGAATTAGAAACTTATCTGCAAATGATATCTAACTAGTGGTTGAAACTAAATCATTAGTTTCACATTTCCAGGTTCGTCATAGTTGGGTAAACTTCTCTGAATGTCGAACAGAAACTACAACAAAAATAATTTTTGCATTCTCATTTGTTCTAACAGCAAGAGAATAAAATACATGACAACATTTCTATATTTCCCAAAAGAGGAAAAAAAAGAGACTACTAGCTTTACGTTAAAGTTTTTACGTTATATATTATAAACTTAAAATACTATTTAAAATTATCTTTAATCATTTTAAAGAAATATTTTTAGAAAAATATTTGAACACCAAATAAATACAGTATGTACACACTGTAAATCTACTTTAAACATTACAGTATACTACACATATTTTTGAGTCGTTTTTAAGGCTTGATTTTTCAAAGGAATCTACTGGTAAAAAATCATGTAAAATCTCCTAAACTATTTAATCTATGACACAATGAATTTCATATTATGAAATGTGCTCATTTATTTTAAGTTGATTCTCAAAAGCCTGTGATTTTGAGTAAGGCCTGTTTGTATTTGACTTTAAATTATTTTGTACAATTAAAAGACTGTATACATACAGCTCAAGCAGGAAAAAACTTTACATTAGCAAAGCTACAGCTCACTGAACAAAGCATTCAACCTCTTAGTGGCATTACATGCAGTTATCCATAACCAAGCTCTACTCTTCTGCATAATGGTAACGATAGAAACTTCAACCTAACAGAAACTTTCAAATGTCAAACTGAACATTAAACATTAATAGATGTTTCCCTTTACTCAAAAACACATAACTTGGCACTTAATTTCATTATTTACTCTCCATCTTCAGCCATATGCAAAGCATGCTGGGAACTAACAATCACCACCAAAAAAAAATATTATTTTTTTTCCGTTTAATCAGTTCCTCAATTCAAGTTTCCTTAAAAATGAGGAAAACATTTCTTGGTTTTATTAGTGAAAAGTTCTCAATATTTTCTATACAACACTGAACCACAATTTCTTTAATAAAATACACACTATTTTTAATTATCACCTTAATTTTTTCAATGAAAATTACAAAACCCATGATTAATTTTTACAGTGTACAGTACCCAATATGTTACCCTAATACCTGCAGCTTACAGCTGTACTAATGACAATGACAAACTCTGGAATTGAAATAGCCTTGTTTTCCCATTTGTATTTAATAGTGCAATGCTCATACTCACACACTCATATGTTTCTATGGATTCTTTTCTTATCTGCAGCCCTACAGATCAGTCCTTCCACAGCCCGCAGGAAAGAGGCCTTACCCAGAATGCCACTTCATTTCCGATGACTCTAGTAGTATATAATGCTTTGGTGCAGATATTACACTATGAAATCGAACTAGAAGAATACATCAA